TGATGTATTCTCTTGGGGCGGCATATGAGTTAATAAAATGCGCTCACTGTATTTTCTTTAAAGAACCACTAGGTTAGTTTTCCTGCCAGTATTGCAGATAATCCAAATTGACAAAATTGGTTTGCTCAATAAATTAGCACAAGTTTTTAGACATGCAATTAAGTTGTTAAGGGGAATGAAGTAAATGTCATGTAGAGAAAGGAGAAAAGAGGACGATCAAGACGTTCTTCTCTCTTGCCAACGTCAGTACCAGTATGGCCCGCCTCTAGTGGCCCTACAAATGTTGGATGCGCGATGGATGCTAGTCCCTCTCTGGTTGGAGGGCAACCATCAGATCTGAGCATTGAGGGGGTGGCAGTGACTTTGCTTTGGAATTAGGTCATTTCTACTTTGTCTCACTCTAGCGCTAGCGGATCAATGTGAAGTTTTCGCCTCACGACTAGGGTGTATGGATTCACTGGGTTGTTTTGGAGTGGTCAACAACCATGAGTCACTTCGAGCAACAACAAAGGTGCTCATGGTGGAAGCTTTAACAATGGCATTTAGGATGGTGGCCATTCTTGTGATGGCTTTTGGTTCTTGATATGGCATTCTTCCTCCTCGGTGGTTGAGGGTGCCGGATCTTGGGGTTGTGGTGCTCGGGATGTTTCTCGGGGGCCATAGGTTGTCTGTGACGCCAGCGATGGCTTTGGCCCTGGGATGTTGGTACGACAATATTGATGACTTTTGGTCTGCAAAGAGAAAATGTAGGCATGCTCTAGCAGGAATTGAGCAGCAATGGTGTGTCTTGTACTCGTTCAGTTGGTTGAAGATCGAGGGGCTCCATAGTGCCTGACTTGTAAATTTATCTTTTTGTAGGGGTGTTTTCTATCATTCTAGAGTTTATTATATTGAGTTGTGTGTTTTGTCGCAAAAAACATTTATAGAAATATGACCATCCAAAACCACAGCATGCATCAATTTTCATGAAAGTCAAACATATATATGTTTGACCAAGACTATAGAATAAAATAGCAGGTAGCTCTTGATTGTTTCCCTCCTAGTGTGCAAGTCACGATTTAGTCATGGTTGCAACAAACTCATTGTATGGTTATCTTGGAATAAGCACTCATTTATCAAAAGACTCTCAAGCTTTCTATATAGTGTGAGACTCTTCCACCAAAGTTTAGAGGTGCTACGTACATGTAGATGTATAACCTACCCTGTTGGTGGCAAGCTATCTTAGCGAGCAGTCCGTCTCACTTGCATCAGAGATGAGTCATTTTCCATGTAATCATCAATCGCATGTATCCTGATTTTGCTGTGAAGAATTTTTTTTTTTACTTTTGCTGCATGCAAAAGCTGAGCTGGGAGAGCTCTCTCGTAAAGAGTAGAATAGAACTAGTGGTATCGTGCGACCTAGCCTTCCAAGAGCA